GTGAATATATCTCTTGTGTCGTATCACAGTTATTATCTGATGCTTTCCAGTTTGTACACGAACCATCAATTGTTGTCCTCGAACTCTTATTGCACAATGGAAGCCTATACCTTTGCCAAAGTGTAGGCATTTTGGTCCTTCCACTAGTTTTTGCAAAATTGACATCAATTATTTTACATATACACACTTCTTTAGGATGAAAGCAAAAGATGGAACGATTAAATCGACACATTATTTTTTACTAATTATTTTCCATTAGCTAAAGTCGAGGAGGTACACTCTTCTTTAAAGTACAGTTTTCTTTTATGTTTTAGTTAAGTTTTTACGTTGGCTTCACTACGTTGGCTCGTATTTTTATGTTTCCCTTTTTTTCTTTCTAATTTTTTGCAAATCCAATACATCTACGAGGTACAACTTGTTGATCTGCCTATTTTATTAGAAAATTTATTAAATATTAATAAATAATTAATTGCGAATCTAGTAACAATGATGATCTGTGGGTTCCATGAAAGTTTAGAATTCATAGTTGTCAAATCTTGTTTCGCCTCTGCTTATAATGAGCAACTAGATGGCCTCGGGCTTTTAATTAAAAAGCGAAGGAACTACAACATGGGGATTCTGATTTGTTCGATCAATTAAGGTAGTAAATTTCCTAGCTATATTATAATAGAAACTTACTATTTTTATTTAGGTTCGTACTTAATTATATTCTATACATATATTTACTATTAAATTTTGCATAAAAAAAGAAGAAAATAGAAGATTCCTTAAATTTTGCATCTCATTCTCTCTCTTTCACCAAAATTTGAACTTCATTTATTTTTCAAAAGATTTCATCTCATTCTCTCTCTTTCACCAAAATTTGAACTTCATTTATTTTTCAAAAGATTTCATCTCATTCTCTCTCCCTCATACTTATCATCCAAAATTGGTACTTCTCTCACAATGTAAACAAAAATGGTAAAAATTTATCTCTAAAATTGCAGCAACAAAGGGTTCTCCATCGACATCCATTAAAAAGTTTCGAAAGAATTCAATATTCTAAATTTAAGAATTTGTGATTTGTTTGGATTGGGTGTTCTTGCAAACAATAAAGAGTATACCTTATAGTTTATATATCAATTTTGAGGGAAATTGGTTAAGTTTAGAGTTGGTTTTACGTAAAATTTTAGATTTAAACTCGAAGAAAACCAAGTTGCAAGAATTGTATGATAAATGTATCACAATTGTTTTAGAATTGTATTAAATTATATGTTATTTGTATCTGATACACTAATGCCTAAAATAATATGTGATACAATACTAATACAATTATAATATAATATTATATCAAATTTTAAGTTTAGAGTTGTGATTGAAACTTGAAGAACATGAAGATCACAATTGTATTACAATTTTTTCAGAAATGTGTCGCAGTTTGTATCACAAATGTATGTGAATTGTGTTAGTATTGTATCAGGTGTTGTTTTAGGTATTAGTATATCAAATATAAGTTAGATACAATTATGATACAAGTATATTTTAGGCATTGATGTATTAGATACAATTATGATACAATTATTATACATTTATCATACAAATCCTGCAACTTCTTCTTCTTCTTCTTCTTCTTCTTCTTCTTCTTCTTCTTCTTCTTCTTCTTCTTCGAGTTTCAATCTTAATTTTTACCTAAAACCCACTCCATACTTAACCAATCTCCCTCAAAATTGAGATATAAATTCCAAAAGATATTCTCAATCACTTGCAAGAATATCCAATCCACACAAATCACAAAATCTTAAAGTCTGAAATTGTATGTATGTATGCTCGAGAATGTGTATTTTTTATCTTTGAATGGACCAATTTGTGGATGAGTGTGTTAGGCATACAAGCTGAAGAAAATAGGGAATAGGGGAAAAAGAGAGAGAGGAGAGAAAAGGGAAAAAGGAAATAATTCAATAACAAAACCGCAAAAAAATAAGTAAATAAATTTCTATTACAGTATATATAAGAAAAACTCCCTGAAATTATTTCCTAAATTCAAAACTGAAGCAGTGTATTTTTTTGTAAGTAGAACAAATAATGGGGGTGAAAATCATTTATACACCTCAACTTTCCTTTTAAAAATCAAACTCCCCCTCAACATTGAACAATAGTTATTCTCCCCCCTTTTATGTCAATTGACTTTTTAATACCTATTTTATCCTTACATATCAACCTTTGTCTCCTCCTCCTCCTCCTCTTCTTCTTCTTCTTCTTCTTTTTTTTTTTTAACTTTTTTGAAAATCATGATATTGTTCTTTCATTTTTAAACTTTATATAACAAAAGAAATTTATTCCCGAGACGAAAAACAAAAGTGAGAAATAGTAATTAAGTAATATGTTCTATACTGAAATAAACAGGCAGAATAAAAATAATTTAATCTTATTTATAGCAATCGAAGCTCTAATATATATTGATAAAGTGACAATAAAATGGAGTAAAAAATTTATAATTATTTGAATGCAAGTAATACAAAGATAATGAATAAAATTAGAGATAAATTTATAATAGAATTCTATATAGATAAATGAGTTTTAGTCGCTACTAATGAAAGAAATAGAAATAAATTTTATAACAGAATTCTAAAAGATTATCTATTTATATTGTAAATGCATTCTAAATTATAATTTAAATATTATTTCATTAATGACGATCAACACTCATTTATCCATATAGATGATAGAGATTAAGAGAGAGTGAAACTTAAATATATGTGTACACACACTCAAATATACATACTTAATGTACATAATATTTAAATAACAATCATAAAAAAAATAGCGTTAGATTTTGTAATAAAATTATTAAAATAATACTTTACTTACAATATTAATAAACTTAAGTAAAAATCTATACTAAGATTAAAAATTATTTAAACTATAGGCAAAATGTCTAGGTTAAAAATAAAATATTATTCTATATAATATTAAAAGATATTATACAGAGGGAAAATTAAAAATGTCAAGGGAAAAATTTATGTTGCATGACATAAAAGGGGGAAAATGACTATTGTTCAAAATTAAGGCGGGAGTTTGATTTTTAGTCAAAGTTGAAGGGTGTAAATGATTTTCACCCAATAATGGGTAAACGATTTTTTCTTTCGAAAGATGGGCAGAGTTGAGGGATAACGAAATATTAAAAGGAGGTATGGAGTTAATAATATAAATTTAAGAATTATAAGAAAATACATTTGACATCACACCATAACAAAAAATGGGTTCATATTTTTAAGTTTTATCCGATCTAGCTCATATTATACATATTTTAAAAGCACTAGCAAATTCAAACTCTGTGTTCTTACAACCATTGCTTCTAAAAGCTATGGAGTTAAATCTGTGTTCTCACAACCATTGTTTTCACTCTTTTTTCTTCTCACATCTTCTACATATGCTTCAAGGGGTCGTCTGCTATTACTGCTTCTCCCCCTGTGTCACCTGATTGCAATATAAGAAAATTAAAGAGTAAAAGTCCACCATTGAAGGCCATTCAAAGCTTTGCTTTCCAAAATAGGATTTTTTGAGTTTGTTAGTTGTTTGGATTGGGTGTTGTTCCAATTGATTGAAAATATCAAAAGGAGTTAAAAATTCAAATTTGAAGTGATTTGGAGTAGATTTGAGCAAGATTTGAGTTAAATTTCTGAAAAGACGCAAGGAAAGAGACGAAGTCAGTTTTTTTGTATAATTATATATAATCATGTATAATAGTGTATATGAGTGTATAAACACTTCTTATACATTTTTATACACCTTTATACAAGCGTATGTAGAGTAACTTCTTCCACGATTCTCAGTTGCAATTCTTGTTCAAAACCAGTTCAAATCTCCATTAAATGACTTCAAATTTTATATACAACCTCCTTATACTATTTCTAACAATTCCAAATAATACCCATTCCAAATTTCTCACAAAATCAAATTCGGAATCTAAACCCACATATTTAAGCTTGTTAAAAATCTAATTTTCATCACGCAAATGAATTTGGTTTGTTGAACTAATATTTGAGTTACAGTTACTGATTCAAAAATTAACTTAAAAGCTTGAGCAATCTTTTTTAAAAATTAAATTGTAATTTCGAGAACTTATTGGAGTTGAATGTTGAATATTAGCCTATTACTTTTGGGTTAGTTGGTTGTAAACTGAAATATGAGTTATAAAATTGAAATCCCAGTTATTCTCATGTGAAATTTTCCCTAAATTAAACTATTTTAACTTGTTTATTAGTGCATATCTATTTATTATTTGGCGTTTGATTGTCATATATTCAAAAGAGTGGTCAACAATAGAGGGAGGGAAACTATAATTTGTTATAAATATATTATATTATGGATGTTCATTTAGTACTCCGTTGTAAATAAGCTTCCTGAAGAAGCTTATCCATATGGGACTCCACCGTAAATATGTTTATCTATTTAGTACTATATTGGAAATAAGTTTCCTGAAGAAGCTTATCACTTTGGTACCCGGTTATGGATAAACATTACCCCCAGTAGAAGTTTATCCATATCGGGTATAATAAGCTTATCTTTTCAGTACCCAGTTATGGATAAACATTACCCCCCGGTAGAAGATTATCCATACCGGGTATAATAAGCTTATCCATTCAGTACTCCGTTATGGATAAATATTGCTCTCAGTAGAAGATTATCCATATCTGGTACAACAGCAACTTACACAGCAGCTTGTAGCAGCTTACACAGCAGCTTGTAGTAGCAGCTTACAGAGCAGCTTATAGTAGCTTACACTGCA